CATATCAGGATGGGACATTTAGAATTAGAAGTGGGTCAAAAATGACAACTCTCTTACAATACGTACTTATAGCCGTCTGCCTGCCAAACTGGATCCAAATGCCTGTATTAAGAGTGACTGAAGAGAGTATAGATGACACATGATCATAAATTTATATATGGACACTAGGACTATTTTAATAACATTAAGGTATTTATAAATAGCTATGCAGGTCTTCTACATATACATGTATAGTGCAAAGGCTTCAATCATAAGCATCTTTCTAGAATATTTGAATAAAGTTTCTTGTAATAACTTTTGCCATTAATCCATCTTATATTTAAAAAAAAACATTCAAATGCATTTAGACTTTCCCTAGGATTAGTGTATCTAGCTAATCCTCCATAGAAGTCAACAGGTATCATTATTGCATCAACTATAGTCCAGAATTTTTAGGCCTCAGCTGTAAAGGTCTATGCACTTGAGCACTTGGTGCTGTCACTGAATGCATTAGTCCCAATCAAATAATAGAATATGGAATCATGTAGTCAAAACAAACAAACAAAAACAAAAGCAAAACAAAAAAAAAACAGAGATTGATTATATATAACCAACATGCCCATATTGACTTACAATAAAAAGTGGCTTCCAAAAGGACCAAGTTCTAGTTTCCTTCAGCAACTCATTTTATCTATGTCAACAAGCTATGTGTTAGCCAAATTATAAAAAGAATTGCTTGGTATCAGTAGGCTTAGAATGAGGTAATTCTGTTATTTGATTGTTTGATATCATTAGGTTTTATAAAGACAGTGCTGCATAGTGTTGAGTGCTGGTTCATGTTTACAGAGTAAATATATTGTTTGGTGAAGAGTATGGAATCTGGAGCCAATCTACCTGGATGCAAAGCTCAAGACTCCACTTAATATGTGTGTAATCTGGCACAAGATATCTGCTGTTTCAGTTGCCATGGTTGCATAATAGACATGCCCAAACTTTATGGCTTATGATTCTATGTGTCAGAAATTTGGACAAGACACAGCAGATACTGCTTGAATCTTATCTCACACTTTCTGAACCATCAGTTGGGTGACTTAGAAATTAGGGATTGGAATCATTTTCAGACGACTCATTTACTCATGGATGATGCTGACTGTCCTCTGACTGGAGAGCTAGAGCTGTTTGCTGGAACACCTACACATAATTTCTCCATGTGGCCTGGATTCCTTGCAATATGGTATCTGGTTTCAAGGATTAATCTCCCCAGAGAGAGCACCAGGCAGATGGTTTGTTTGTTTGTTTGTTTGTTTGTAAATAAACTGGTTTCTTTAAAACCAGCTTTTTAAGTAAACTAGCCTGGAAAGTCAGGGAGTATCCTTTCCACCACAAGTCTAGAAACCACAAGTCTAGAAAAGTATATGAGAAAGAGAAATAGACTGTGTTTCTTGTTAGGAAGCAACAAGGTTCTGAAACAACATGTGTTAAGAAAGTATTTCTGTTGCCTTTTTTGGGAAAATACAATTTGCTTTACCTGACTTTTCTTGCCTTTGTTTACCTATTTGTAAAATGAGGATAATAATGTACCAACTAAGATGATTGTTACTGTTTCAGTTCTTTCCATTGTGTGTGGAATTCATAGGTTCAGGCTGAATTCAAATTCAGCCTTATTTCTAAGTTCTTGTCTCTACAATAGAGGGTGAAACATAAAAAGATGATGTACTGTTTTGTGCAAAAAGAACCCAGTTTTCTAATTATAATTCCCTATTCTTTATTTGCCCAGTGTGAGAGGGAAAGAGAAGGGAAAGAGTGAGAAAAACTGAAAATGGAGGAAAAATCCAAGATGAAATCCATGGTTTAAAGAATAAGAAAGGTCAAAAGAAGAAGAAAATGGAGAACCTACCATTTGTACATCTTGAGGTCTCAATCTTCCTTCAGTTTTCAGAATTTTTGGTGACAGAAAAAGCTAGCTTTCTTTAACTATGGTTTCTCAATACTTTGCAGATCATGGGTTAATTAGGTAACTCCAGAAAAATGCTATGTATAGTTTCAAGGATTTCACATACCTTGAGAAAGGTCAATGATGCACCCAGAGAAAAAACTCTTGCTAAGGCTGGACAATGTGGTATATCGTTAGAATAATGTTCAGTGCAAAAGCATATTATGTGAGTGCTCTTTATATACCACTTTAAAATCTTCACCTATCAAGTAATATAAATTTTACATTCTAAAATACATATTTGTGTGATTTTTAATATATATATCTTTCCCACAAGGCCGTGAATTTTTGAGATTCACCATTATTTCCTAGAGCGTGGCATACAGTAGTTATTAAATTCAAAGTTTTGAATAAATAATTAATGAAAACTAATGAATGAATGAAATAACATTGTAAACTCAAAGCACAATATTTTAACCTGCAGAGATTGCAATCAAATTTTTCTTTAATGGTTTTAGGAACAAAATTGTTGTCAAGTTCATATTTAGCTGACTTAAGTAGAAAGATTCTACTGATAAGATTCAGCTGGATTTGAATATAAAAGCATGTAAAAGTCCTATTACTTCACTTATTAGTTTCTTCTTTCTTCTCACCCTTTTATATTTCTGACCCCAGCTTTTGTGTCCTTATTATATATCTTCTACTCTTGATCCCTTGTAAACTTTTCAACTCCAGTTTTGATAACATCATTTTCCCAGATATATTTCCACCAATATCATTACCTCTTTGTTTCATTCGCATATAATAATATTATTGGCTAAAATTAAACAAGTCAAAGTTGTAAAGTTGAACCACAGTTAAACATATAGAACATTTTCAGAGAGTGTCAGTAGATACCATTATTCAAAATTTTTATAAACCTGAAACTTCATGGCACATCTGAAGGTCCCTGACTTTCAGGAATAGGTGGTGAATTGGAAAATCCTTCTATAAATTCATGATTGAGAAATGTAATTAAAATATCATGACTGATGTAACAATGTTTTGAAGATTCATTGACATAACTGTGCAATTTGATTTCTTGGTATCTAATTACAGCATATAAAAAGCAGTAAGAACTGGTGTCATCCAGAAGCTGAAGGTATTTTTGTTTGGAAATAAAGCTGTATTTTATCAGTGAGCAAACCATAAAGTATCAAATATATCCTCACTAAAATTCTATTAAATAGGTTTAATGCAAATCCCACAACTTTTGTAGCACTCCTCCCAAATGCAATGTTTATAGTAGCCATGTAGGGCTTGAAAGAAATGTAATTGAGAAGTAGAATACCTTAGGTATCAGAGTTGTGCTTATGTTAAATCAAAGAAACAAAAAAATTCAAGATTCCTCCTCCTACCTTCAGTAGAACATTTATCAAAGATCCAACTAATCACTTGAGGATTTTAATGTGTTAAGATAGCAGCAAGAACTGTAATCATTTTTTTTTCAGAAGTATCCCCACCAAAGTAAAATACTCATAGATACTTGGTCCTCCTACCAAAAGATAATTCTATGTGATTTTAGGTAAGTTTATTAGACAAAAGTTTCTAAAGTTTGAAATTACTGTGCCAGAATTAGGACAAGGACATTTAAAATGGTTCTCAGTTCATCATTTTGGCTTTTTGAAGAACAGCTATGACATAGTATTCATCATTAGGGATCAATATGGATACCAGGCTTTCAAGAGAAATACGTTTGTTGACCGTAATAAATCTTCAAGTGTGTAAATACAGAAACATTTGTACAAACAATTTTCTGCTGAATTACATTTTGTCTATGCACATTCTCATACTGCAATATATTTTTAAACAATTTATACTGAAGGTTTGATATGATGGCAGTTTTCACAAAGAAACATTTTTAATTGCTTCACAATGGTTATTTTAATATCTTGTTATTTAATCATTGTCATCATCTTAATGCACATTTATGTGTTTTGCAAACTTTTGCCTTTATAAATAAAGTTTTAGAGATAAAGCTTTTTACTTAGAATAAATTTCATAAAACAAACTGCTAGATTAACAGGTTTGAAAATATTTAAGCCTGTTGATAAATTCTATATTTGTGGAAGCACCAGAGAAAATTTCATGTGCTACAAATGTAAAAAGAATCAGCAGCCAGACTGAATTCACACATCTAATTAAAAATGATAGGTAGCCCCTAATTTTCCAATTGGTAATATTACAAAAATTATATTCTAAGGAGTTTGTATTAGATTTTTTAAAATACTTATTTATTCATGAGAGACACAGAGAGAGAGAGGCAGAGACACAGGTAATTAAATCCCTTGTAAGGATTTAATCCCTTTTAGCAGGCTCCCCACATGGAGCCTGAGGCAGGACTCTATCCCGGATCCTGGGATCACGCCCAGAGCCAAAGGCAGACGCTCAATTGCTGGGCCACCTAGGCGCCCCAGAGTTTGTAGTAGATTTAGCAGATATTTATTTAGTCATGAGAGGGTTTTATATAGTTCTCAATTGCTCAGGGACTTAACCTCTACTATAGCTAAAGTATAGTAGGAATAAATAATGGCTCTCTCATGGTACTCCTAAATGTTGAGTTCCTTGTCTTTGTCTTTTACCCTTTAATTTTCTTTGTTTTCAGTGAGTCCCACCACTCTGAACCTCTTGGAAATAGGACTCCAAGCTTCCAGATATCTTCTACCTATCTGAGCATTGGGGTTTGAGGAAAGGCAAAGCGGGTAGGAAACTCAGTTTCCTAGGAAACTGAGTGGAGCACCTTAGGACTGAGTACTTCCCAAGGCATTGTGGAGAGAAGTCTGGGAAGGAGGGAGAACAGAAGTCAAATAGACCGGTAAATGAGTGTTCAAAATAGAAAAGAAATAAGTGTATCAAAAAAGAAAATTATAAAAAAAAAGAAAAGAAAGAAAATTATTAAATCCAAGGAGAATATTGGTATCAGAGGAAGCACCTTTTTTACTTTATTATTTTTCTACAATATGTAATATAATATTTGTAGGTAATTCAAATGATGTTGAAAAATTCAAGGAAATTAAAATGACCTTAAATATATATATTTATCTTCTAGAAAATACAAGATGATTCACTAGAAGAAAATCTACGTTTAGCTCAAGAATATCAGGAATTACAAACTATTTTCTTAAGAGAAAAGGACAATTATTTCAATCTATATGATAGACAGTTATTACTTGATGCTTCAATTCGAGATAAGAAACAGGTAGGCTTTCTTATTTTTTTATTTTTATTTTTTTAAGTAATGATTTACTGGATGTATGTACCACAAAAAATAACAAGTTATCAGTCCAATATGATGGTGGTCCTTCATATGCCACCAAATGATGTGTTTTCTTCTTATAAAGTTTTGTTGTATGTTTTTATCAAACTCTGAAACTCAATTTTGAATGGATATTTGAGAAATGAAAAAACTTAGTATCTAATCCACCATTTTATACTAATTTGCTTTATCAGGACTTGGAATGCCAAATTTTTATAGTTTATAGATTTAAATATATCATAGACTTCGAATTTCAATTTTATCTGTAGGTAACTTTTTACAATATGCCTCAGATCTTCTTCATGATTTGTGGGCTCCAAATGTTGGTTTCTATTTTCTTAGCAAATATGGGTCTTAATTAGAAATTTGGAGACTAGTTGACCCTCTGTAGTTACTGGAAATTAGTAGAAATTCTCAAAGATTTTTAAAACCTTCTGTAATAATAAAAATAGAGGGATCCCTGGGTGGCGCAGCGGTTTGGCGCCTGCCTTTCGCCCGGGGCGCGATCCTGGAGACCCAGGATCGAATCCCACATCGGGCTCCCGGTGCATGGAGCCTGCTTCTCCCTCTGCCTGTGTCTCTGCCTCTCTCTCTCTCTCTGTGTGTGACTATCATAAATAAATAAAAATTAAAAAAAAAATCTGTTTAAAAAAAAAAATAAAATAAAAATAAAAATAGAAAAGTATTTTCGTATGTGTATGTGTAACACACATAGTATACCACAAGTGAAAAAAGGAAAGCAAAAGTTCCATCGCAAGTGTTAAGATATAGTCACTTCCTTTGTATTCTTCCCCAGACACTCATTGACAAGAAAAATTATTTCCCTTTGAATTTTTGTTTCTTCTCAGACTCTAAATTTCAAAATATAGAAGCATAATTATTTTTTAACCACTCACCTAGTCCTAAGAAGCAGTAGACTGCTAATGAATGCTTTCTCCTATTGTTGTCAACCATACTAACTCTACTATAAATTAGTAGTCTAAAATTCCAGTACTGTACTTATCCCTCCTAATCGTGGAATATTGGGATTTGAGTGCAATCTCTACCGAGCTCAGTATCTTGGCTAATTAACTATCCTTTCTGACCTCAGTTTTCTTCTCTGTAACATAAGATTTACTTTAGAAGAAATCTGATAAGGAATAAAAAGGAGATATCCATAGTTATTTTGAAAATAAAAGGATACTATGCAACTGTAACTATTACATTCATCTGGAATGCTGCTTATAAACTCCCTTATGTTTCTCATCAATCTACTCTCCTATGAGTTAAAGCTTCTAAATACATTGAAAGAAAGAGTGTGTATTTTTCTCTTAAAAATTAGTAGCAAGATGAAGGTAGATTAAGAAATAAAGGTGTTTGAGAAAGAATTGATAATATAACTATACACCAAAATCTTAGTGTCCTCAATCCATGTGCAGGATTCAAAGAAAGGACATCAATGGAACATTTGTCCAATCACTTCATGCATTTGACATTGTTATTGAAGTTAAACATGTTCTATTTGTTCCTGATAATTGAGGAAGAAAAAATAATCAATGGCTATACTGTATTTCCTTTTCTAACCAGGAGGGAAACAAAAATAAATTTTATGTATACTTGTTATGAGTTTATATAGAATCCTTAGGTGGCAAGTGATAAATAGATATATGCATAAATAGTGAAGAACTCATGCTTTTCAGAGAAATCCATAAACACTGTATTTCCATAGTAAGAATAAAATTGTCTTGATCTTGGAATTAAAGCAAATCATGATTCAAGATACAAGGAGTGAGACCCTGGGATGAACAGACAGTGAAGTATACTAGGAGATTGAGTTTATATTTGTGATAATACCTCAAACGAATCACTTTTAGCACACCTGTTTCAGGGAAACTTTCAAAGATTTATTTGTACTTCCAATCATTTTTCATTTCCATCCTTCAGCGATGGAGGTCATTAAGTGCAGGCTGCCCTTGTAAGTGTCATGTAGGATCAATTTGCTGCAATGGACAGAGAGGCCTTACTGATGCTGTTAAATCTGTCAGTGAGAAATCGTATGTCATCAGCGTCTAATGCACTGCTTACAGGATGGAATTTGGCCATCAAAAGGGAAAAAACCTTTAATATTTTAGTCCATTTCTTTGATATTGTAATATTTCCACTATATATATATATATAGTGGAAATATTACAATATCAAATTATATATATATATATATATATATATATATATAATCATTTGACCAGTTTAGTTTGGGGTACATAAAAACTGTTCAACCTCTGATTCCTTATTTAATTTCCTTGTCATATAAAGTGGATCTCACTTTAAGAAATCTTGTGTATTATTTTCCTGTTTTTATAATAACTTCATTGCTTCTAAGCATACATTTCTTTGGCATGGTAAATAATTATATTTTGATTTTTGTGCTCCCTAAGGAGTATTATTCTCTCTACACAAATTAGACATTAGACATTTTCATACTTCTTGGTATTTTTCGGCCAACAGCAGCAAAGAAAGCTCAATGGAGGAATAAAACAAGTTAAATATAAAAAATAATGTCCCCTTCATTGACACAATTTTATATACAGATGGCTTAAATGTTAGAATGCTATAGTATTAAAATTGTGTCTTCTTCCTTTGCACACTTCTTGATACTTTCCTGTACTTTAAAATTTTGCAGTGATAAATATTTTGCCCTTTAAAAATCAGAAACAAACAATGACTCTGCAAAATTCTTACCTTCCCTGTTCATGGGTAGTGGTGGAATAGAATCCACTCTAAAACTTTTCAGATCCCAAAATTTAAAATACACTAAAGAAGAATAAAATAAAAATATCTGAAACACAGGCTGTGCTTCTATGTAAAAACAGACATTTCCATCATTTTCATTAAAAGATTTCCAAAATGTTTTTCATTTGTTTAAAATCCATGAATATATTGATAAAATCATGTTTGTTTTGACTGCTGTCTCAAATTATTCAAGTCTGCAAAGAAAGGTAAGCTAAGCAAGCATGCAAATGTTGATGTGTTCTGTTGGCTGAGAACATGATCTCTTTCAAAACTGGTTAAAATATATTTTTAGTTCTTTTGTAAGTCACTTGTGAAGCTTAACCTTTGTCTACTCCAGTTCTCAGTACTTTCAAACTAAGGGAATATGAATTATTACAGAATCTGTCAACACTTAACAAATACTTATATGGACCTGGTATCTGTGCCAAGCAGTTTACAAATATTATCTTTGTAATGTCTATTAGTAACCATCTAAAATTTTTTATTATTATTATGATCATATCCAGTTTAAGATATAGAACTGGGATTGAGTGTGTCACAAGGTCATCGGAGTAGAGGGAACTGACTGAGATAGGAATCAAACATAGGATTTTTAAAAATCCAACCCATCTCATAACCATGACACTACTCTTGTACTACAACTATACTGTCTCATCAGGCTTTATAAAGCATGTAAACACCAAATCAGTTATTCATTATGTCGCTAATGTCCAACTAAAACACAATTGTTTTTGTAATTTTATCTCACTGAACTCACTTTTTCAATGATGATTTTCTTGTGGGGAAAGGACTACTTATTTAATTGGAAATTATTTAATTTTCATAGATTATAATAGGTTTTACAATTCTAAATTGTAAAAATTTTGAACTGGAAATGCCTTTAGAAATTTTACCCATTTCGGAGCACCCAGGTGGCTCAGTGGTTGAGTGTCTGCCTTTGGCTCAGGTTGTGATTTTGAGATCTTGGGATGGAGTCCCACATCAGGCTTCTCATGGAGAGCCTGCTCCTTCCTCTGCCTGTGTCTCTGCCTCTCTCTCTGTCTCTCATGAATAAATAAATAAAATATTTTTAAAAAAGAAATTTTACCCATCTCTTTAAAATTAAAAGATTATTTCACACACACATGCATACACAATAAAAAAATGAAAAGTAAAATAAAAGATGATTTCATAACTGTGGAACCTTAAGGCCAGAATGGCCCAGTGATCTACCACAAACACAGTTAATTAGAAGAAAAATTGGCCTAGGACACAGTTGTCTTAACTTATGTTCAAATATTCTCTCCAACCAAATGTAAAATGAGCATGTGCTATATTTTTTGAAAGTTTGAGTGAACCAGTAGTTGAAAAGTAGTAAGAGTAACTGCAATGGATATCCTCAGATTACAGTATCTTCCTTTAAGTAACCTGGGTTTATTAAAGAATCATATAGGGACATAAATCAGAGTACTACTTTGGAGATGTAGGGGATACTTCTGGGTCTCACAGAATTCAAACACCATTCATCTATCTGTTCATTCAGTTATTTAAATAAATTATTAATCATCCAGTGTACTGACATCCTATTCTTTTGATACAATAAAAGGCACAGGAATATGCCAAAAGAAACTCATAGTAAATTTCCATACATAGAGTCGACCATTAAACAACACTGGTTTGAACCGCATGGGACTACATACACATAGATTTTTTTCAATATTTATATAATATATATATTAGAAAAAATTTTTGAAATTTATGACAATTTGAAAAAACTCATAGATGAACCATGCAGCCTAAAAATATCAAAAATAAGGAAAAGCTACGTATGTCATGAATGCATAAAATATATGTACATAGTAGTCTATTTTATCATTTACTCCCACAAGATATATCATTTACTCCCATAAAATATACACAAATCTATTTCAAAAAGTTAAAATTCAGCAGAACTTAAGTACACAAACTTACAGACCATGCATAGCACCATTTGCAGCCTAGAGAAATGTAAACAAACAAAATGATGTAGTATTACATCATAACTTCATAAAATTAACTGAGTATGTATTGTGCTACTGTAATAATTTCATAGCCACCTCCTATTGCTATTATGGTGAGTAAAAGTGTTGTGAGCATGTGCTCGAAAGGCCCTGTATATATATATATATATATATATATATATATATATATATATA